ATCCAGACACAAGGAGACGAGTGCAAACTCCACACAATCCAGTCCGAGGAACAAACACATAACCTTCTCTCTGTGAGGCATGAGCGCAACCAAAACCACACCTGTTAGTTTGCTGTACAAGCTCTGAGTGTAGAGGATTCCACCATTTACCTGAAGTGTGAACAACAATCATGATTAACTCAAAATGGTCATGTACGTACAATAAAATGGCAATATCTTTTAGTTTGACTCCATTTCAGCCTTAATCAGCATTGTTTAATATCCCCCATATTTGGATCTGGTTTGTTGTCGTTCTTGCTGAAAAAAAAAAGAACCGTACAAAGTGGAACATGAGGAATGCGATCTTCATGGAGACAAATGAAGAGACTTTTCCGTGTCCGTGGTTTTAAAGTTTCATTACTTTTCATCACCAATGCATGATTATAACACGGCATATGCTGGACAATGACTGATTAGTGTTTGGAGCTCATTAACAACTCCTGCCCTATTTTGTAAACACATTTGCTTATCCAGAGAAACAAGAAAACGCCAACCGCACTCGCGCTCTCCGGCAGTAATGCGTTTCCCCTCGCCTTACTGTAAAAAGAGTGGCCTGTGCACCGCAGTCACATATATTTACAATACGGTGCTTTTATCTGCCGTCTGGTTAGTGTTTCACTGTGATTGATGAGATTAAAATGATGCTGTTGCCATGTTGTAATCCCTTTTAGCGCTGCTCCCTCTCCTTCATTTCCTCTCTCTGCCGGACGATGCCGTACACCACTTTTCACTTCAGGCTTTCGCACAATCAGGCCGTGTATAAGCGCTGGCAGGGCTCCGGGTGATTGTCTTCTTTTAAGGCCTGACTACTCCTCTATAGTTCACTTACCACCACGCCTCTCGCTAATGGGCTCCTCTCAGCCCACTCATACGCCATGTTCCGCTGCGTACCTTTGTTCCCTCCCCCCCCCTCTCCGCTCCTCCGAGACGCAGAGGTGAGTAGGACGAGGCGATGAGGTTAGTTAAGCACGCATAAATCTGATTAGAATCCCCCATAGGAACCGGTATTCGGATTGAACTACATTTATGGCGCAGATTTTTGTGGTAGGTGCCATTCTTTGCGGTTTGCCAGGTTTGAAGCACAAATCCCCAGATCGTTCTCTGGCACGGCACGCCATCCCGAGCCGTCTGCTTTCCCATGATTCCCAGCTCTGCCCCTCATATGGCCACTCATGTGCAACCAGCATATGTCAGACTAGTCTTGGGAGGACAGGAGAATGCACAGAGGCAGGCAGTGGAGTGTTGTGAGGAGGAATGGGTATAATTTGGCCTGTTTGTTTGAGTTCTTGGGGGACATCACGCGTCAGTCAATTTCTGAGCACAATTAAACATAATGAGCTGCTGCGTGTTTGCGCCGCTGTAAATCACCTTTCAAAATATCAGGTCGTCTGTGTCTTTTGCTTTGGGTAATTGTTTCGCTTTTCGTCGGCGAGGCTTTGTTTTGGGAAGATATCGATTTCTGAGAAGAGCTGGACTTCTGTAGAGTTGGAAAGTTGTATCAAGTGGACAATTGTACACAAAGAGATTAACAGTTATTTAATGTCTGAGATATGATTTTAAGACAAAAGAAATGGGGAATTTATAAATGTCTTGTTTTTATAACCAAGGAGGCCCTACAGTCACTTCAAAGGTCAGATTAAGATAAAATATCAAATTTTTGTCCAAATAACTAAATCGATTATTCGAAGTTTGATTTTTATTGTTTTAATTAAAATGTATTGAGCAGCTTTTATACGAGTAAATTCAGAGAATCCTTGGAAAGTCTTGTAGTTCTCATTTTTCAGTTTTCAGTTTTCAGCCTGTAGATTTTTGTGCCACAACTTCATTGTGAAATTCTCCTTTGCTGTCAATCTTGTTATGCAAATCAGAGCTGACGTGGGCGGTAAAACTTCAAAGTGTGACAGCCGTCAATGCCCACTGAGTAAAGTTATTAAATGGAGTTTCGTGCAAAGGGGCACATTGTAGTGCGGTGATTCACTTGAGCCTATAGACTCCGCGGCTCTCCAAAGCTAACAAAGTGTTGCCAGCAGTGCTGTGGCCTTACTCACGAGGCCCGTGCAGTCAATTGTGCGACCGCAATAATGTGTGGTGGATGACTGTACCTCCGCTCTCAGGTACGGACCTGCCCTGGGAGAGCGCATCTACTCGTGGCCACGCCGTCTGAGCTCACTCTGAGATACTGCGTTCAGGTTCAATCATTTCAGAGATCATTATTGGTCACACAATACTTTATATGCGAGTAAAAGAAAGTCATTTGGAAGTGGTTAAAGAAGACAATTGAAATATAAAATTCCTGAATCATTTGGCTTGATATTTTTATTGGTCAATTCATAAATACTTTGTACTGGGATCTTAAAATAACCATTTACAAAACTTGCAGCAAAGATGATAAAATGTTCAGACTTTCAACGTATGACAAACTGATGAAGGCAAGTTTATTTGTATAGCACAGTTCATACACAAGGCAACTCAAAGTGCTTAACAAAACAAAGAATAATCACAGTACATTAAACAGAGTGAAGATACAATCATTCAGTTGTCTGCTGCTAAACAGAACTGTTTTCAGCCTGGCTTTGTCGGGTAGAACTATGGAAAACACTAAGATAGAAACTTGTTGGTCACAATCACATGTTTTTAACTTCTTTCACCGGTTTCTCCATCGTCTCCATCCGGTCTCCTCTGTCACCTGATCAGTGGCTCTTCTGTTTTCCTCTCCCACGACTCGATGCCTGGACACGTTCAGCAGTAGCCACTTTTCTGGGAGCGTGTCATTCAAGTCGCCACTTATCCCTAACCCTTAGTTTCAGTCTCATCATTATCTTCATTTATTGTAACCTGACAGGTGCTATTAGTATTGCTGTTTGTGGAGCGGCTGAGTGACATATCCGTCTGACGCATCAGTCTTGTGGAATTTTGCTGGGCGTGCTGAGAAAGACACTAATGATTAGTCAGCGAGAGTGATGTTGGAAAAAGTAAATACTGTTTTGATCATCTATTGGTTGGCAGATGTATTCTTTCAATAAATCAATTTGTTGTTTGGATCCTGAAGGGCTGGTGTAAAAAAACATCCCATATGTTTTTATAAATTTGACTAAACCAAGGCTTAAGTGATGCCCCTGGAGAACATCTTCATAGAGGTGGTTGAAAATACTTTGTAAACACATTTTCATTTCATTCTTCTGTCAAAAAACCTTCTCAGCATGTTTTCATACTAATGTAAAGTTAGTGGTTTACAAAAAATGTTTTCAATAATTGATTAGTTGTTACGATGAACTTGTTACAGCCCATAATGGGAACAAAATTTGCAAAGCGTTTAGTCCTCCATTTAACCCAGTGTGGCTCGTGAGATTTCCGAGATAATGGCAACGTGAGAATCTGCTGTGATGGCACTTTAACGGCTTAACTTCTTGGTTGATAATGGATGAAGATGGTGATCTGCAGTAAATGTGCCCCCAATGAGAAGATTTCACTGTATCTGCACCAGGAAAAAAGCAAATTCTACATTCGTACAACATTTAAACAAACCGGATACCACTTCCGAGAAATCATAAAGGACCTATTAGATCTAATTGGCCCGTACTGATCGTAAATGCAGTGCTCCCCATTTGTTTTGTGGAATAACCATGTATAATTAAAGAACCTGCCTTTACCAGATATTAGTCAGGCTTCAATGCTCTTCAAAAAGGGGTCAAACTGAGTGAAATGGAATAATTTATAGCCTGCTTCAAGTGTTTTGATTGCTGCTCTGCTGACTAACCAACAGAAATACCCTATTCTGGTCGAAATGTGTTTTTTTTAAATCGTAAAATAGATTCAAATCCCTCGTTTTCAATGAAGTTTGCTTATTCACAAATGTCATTGAATCTGTCAGAAGTAGCCGTGAGGAACCCAGGCTCAGTGATATCTATTTAATTTGCTTGTCTGCCTTGATTATCAATGACTTTAGTGCCTCCTGTTTGACCTAATTTGAATTCTGGGGGCACGTTGTTGCTTTTGATTTACGGATGTGTCTCGGGGGTTTGTTTTGTTTGTCTAGGAGTTACTCGCTAAATATTTAATCGGGGCGCTGTCAGTTAGGCTCGCCGAGAACGTCAAGTCCAGTAATATCTCTGCACTTTCTCTTAGCCCTGGGCACTTTTTCTTTCCGCGTGCTTACATCACATTCACACCAGTTGCGTTTTAGAAGTTAAACTGGGAGCAGTAGTTTCACACACTGAAAAAAAGGGTGCAGACATTAAAATAGTTTGTAATATTGTTTGTTTGTTTACACATATAGAGCCATTTCTCGTTTTTAGTAGCAAAAATTATTTTTAGATTCACTATCCTGTCTGCATGTCTCTATAAAGATAGCTTAAAGTGTTAAAATGAACTCACCCATTGTGTTTTTATTTTTAGTTGGCATTACGTAAAAGTTTATATTTTTGTGCATTTGACTTTGTTGTGACCCAGTGGCTGTATGAGAGGTCAGATGGTGCCTTCACTTTTAATCTCTTGTACACTTTCGGATAATATGTTTGTAAGGTTTTCTCTTCTGACGGACCCCCGCAAAACCCACAAAACAATTGATCCTGGAGCACTGAAAACACGGCCCAGAAAAAAGACACCATGATGGCCACTCTTACAGCCACTGGGTCACTACAAATATATAAAGTTACATCATGTTGTTATTGCTACAATAAAAAAAAGCATTCTCGCTCAACTAAACTCGGGATATTTTCTTTTTAATGCCATATTTTGTCAGACAATGCAATCAATTCTGGGCTTTTTACTTATAGTTTCTTAGTAATACCAACTTCACAGAGTTTCATATGGATAGACATTTGCTCCTTTTTGAAATTCTAGAAAAAAATATAACCCACTCCTGACATGAAATTAACAACATTCTCACGTATTTTACCACAGTGGCAGACTATCGTGTTCCAGGCTGCTGAATTTTAACACTTTGAAATGTTCCCTTTCAGGTTCTTTAGCCAATGGGCAGCTGAACGGCTCGGTGTCTAAGGGCATCCACAAAGAAGATGGCTTGTTGCGCTCAAAAGGAATGGGCGCGAGCGGCGGCTACGAGGACGGTCCTGCTAAAAAGAGGTGAGACTTCGCGCTGTGGCTATTTTGCAGCTCAATAATTTTATTTATTTTATCTATTTTCACTGCTTTGTTGCCAATGGGAATAGCTGTGAACGTGCAAGGTTGGGTTTCCAAATCTTTTAGTGTAATTTGAATGTGTGATGAGGAAGTGTGCTATATATTTATGTTGGAACAGTCTTGTCTATGTGTAAAGACGATTTCCTTTCCAACCATATTGCTCGCTGATTTTTGCTGACATAAATAACATGAGTATGAAGTCTGATATTGGAGCAAATGGTTGTCATTTCTTGTATTCAACTTCATACTGTATTATGCCTGGGCTCTGGTCTTCATTTTGCTTTATTGCTCTCTGCAGTCAAGACCGTACAAACTTCTGGATGTCTAGGTCTAATGCCTGTGAAGTAATTATTGTACGTTTGAAGGATTTAATGAGATTCTTGCCTAATTGCTTAATTCTAATGGTGTTTCTGCATTTTTGTTATTATTCTTGTTAAGTAATATTGGCTTGCATTTTCAATTGGATCATTCATTGAGCAAATTATTATAACAGAATAGCCGTTTTGTACTAGCTAATTCGAGGCAGGCTGGTTTTCATAATATATTTATTCATTGTGAAAAGGAGATTTATTGAACAGCAAAATCTCACTTAAGACAACACTGCTCCTTTGTTGACAACTGTTCCTGTAAACTGGAATAAAGCATCTTTGGAAACCCTGCTGCCTCTAATGCATTCAGTATGAAAACACGTCTGAAATCACAAGCTGCAGACAAGCATTTTTTCCACATTACAAAAATCCACATTACAAAATTGTCTTCTCCCATCACTGTTTAGAGCTAGTTGGCAGGTGTCTGTGTGTGTGTCTCTGTGTGTAAGTAAGTAAGTAAGTAAGTTTTTATTTATATACCGCCTTTTCACTGCAGATCTGAGTCTCAAAGCGGTTTACAATTGTTAATTTTGGGCATTTGTATCTCACTCCACACAGAGATGGGAGCGGGGTCGCCAGTACAGGAGGCGCATGCTAGAACTATTGGACATATTTTTAGTGGTAGGGGAAACCGGAGTACCCGGAGGAAACCTACGCAGACACGGGGAGAACATGCAAACTCCACTCAGAAAGGCCCTGGTCCGACCGGGATTCGAACCCAGGACCTTCTTGCTGAGAGGCGAGAGTGCTATCCACTCAGCCACCGTGCCGCCGTGTGTGTGTGTGTGTCTGTGTGTTAGTGCGTGCTTCTTCAGATTCAGATCAGATTCAGATTCATTCTGTGGGTGTGCGTGTGTCTGTGCGTATTTGTGTTTCTGTGTGTGTTAGTGCGTGCTTCTGTGTTTGTGTGTGTGTCTCTGTGTGTGGGTCCATGCATAGCTGCCTGTGTTATTGTCTCTCGCGTGCGCGTTGACGGGGCATCAAAGCAGCAGTGTATAGAGCCACGGAGGCGGGGCCTAAAATGGGGAGGTGTGGGGAGGGGCGGACAGCAGCAGATGTCCCTCCATAATGATCGGCTCCATTCAGCGCCGTGTCAGGCACCTGCCCCTGTTCCCCTCACTGTCATCTGATACTGTAACCTCACAATCTCTGCAAGACCCACACCAACCCTCTGATACTGTCCAAATTAGGGCTGCTCGATCAATCGCAATTCAATAGAAATCGCACGTTTTAGTGGCTGCAATTTTCAAATGAGTAAAAACTGAGCTGTAAAGCTGGTTACGAGAGACCATGATCCAAAAATAGGGTCATAAAAGCTTCAACATGGTAGTATTTCTCTTCATTTGAGTGCAGTTTGGCAGTTTTGTCTGCTAATGGATGAGGCAAGTCCAGCACAGTGGGAATTGAAGTGATTATTTTCCAAATTATAAATGAATAAATGAGTCTTCAAGTATTTTCAGATTTCAGTTTTCCCTCAAATTTGATTTTTCCTCTCGCACATTGAACAGCCTCGCTTCATAACAGCAATTATAAACTCGTTACTTAACAACTGTCATCTGAAAATCTTGGTTCAACATTCCTTTAAAATTTGAGTTAAAAAGGTGAGGACTATTGTGGAAGATACAACTCACAAAAGTAAAATTTCTTTTGAATAGCTACTTTTGTAATCTTACTTCAAGCTGGATTCATTCATAGAAAAAAATATCGATTTAGTAAATTCATAAGCATTTGAAGAAGTACTTTCATGGTGTAGTGCGGGAGGGCAGTTGATGGAAAGGACTGGCCTTCATCAGTGGTATGCAGCAGGACGGCGGACTGAAGAGCCGCTCTTATCTGATGCAAATGAAACACAAGCCTTTGCCAGCGCTCGCTTTGGCACTGCCTTCTGCCCTCTTTAAAAATCTTGTCTATGAAGGTTGACTCTTACTGCCCTGGCATGAGGAGCTATCACTTCTCCCAAATCTGCACCAATTGAGACTGCGCCAGTGGCTTTTTATCTGGCATATCTAAAAAGAGGATTGTCCACATCACTGGCACCAGAAAGGGGGAAATTAGAAAGAAAAAAGGCTCGAATGATGGCGAATATAAAGAGGAAACATCCAAGACAGAAGGACAGGTGCAAATGATTTTTTTTGGCATAAAGCGCTGCCGTGTTAGAAGTCTTTGAGATCAGCTCTGTGTTTGCCTTCCCATGCTCTTTAGACTGGCAGAGACTGGCATCATCTCCCTCTCAACATGCCAGCTCATTGTAGGCCGATCCCACGGAGGTGACCATATTTCCCCTCTCAGAACTGCCTTTTGCCAAAACCACTCGCCACAAACTCCTTCTCATCTCGGCTGCCACGGTTCACTGACCCAGATCCAGAGCAAACTTGTCTCCGCTCGCTTTCACGGCGATGAAACGGGACATTTCCACTGCAGTTTGGCAATTCCCTGCATTTGAACAAAAATATGTATTTGCATAGTTTTATGACTGTACATAGTTGCATCATTTCCTGTTAGAAGTTTCTATAGTTTCTATGTTGTTCTATATTAGGTGAAAACAGATCATTCCATTCTGTCTTGTCAAACGTAATCACTCATTATTGAAGTTTGAGTGTGTGAAGGCGAAAAAACTAAGTTCCTATCATTCTGAATAACACGTAAAGTGTTTGGCTAAAATGCACAACTTTCTCATTGTTAAATGCAACTCTAAATATAGTTTTGGATCGGATATCACACAGACAACATTCCGCTCTTTAAAACCCAAAAAGGAAACCTCACCCTTTCCATCTCTGGGTCTTTTTGTGGGGTCTTTGAATAAACAAACCAGCTTGTGTGGTTTTGTCTTCCTCTAAACATTATAAACATGTGTAATTGCGTCATCATTCAGCAGCCGCACCGCTTCATCCGCCGGTTACTTAAAGGTTTTGGAATGATGACTCAGTTCTACTTTTTAATGCCGGATTCAGAGTGTTCCCTACATTGACTCAGACTCCAGTGCTTCAAACGTGGAGTGAATAAAACCTCTGAAAAGGCACAGATCAAGAGCGGAGTGGCCCTTAAACAAACTCCATTTCTTCTACTTGATTTATTTGCAAGTCCTTTTGCTCTCCTCTTCTTTCTTTACCAAACCCTCTCTTGGCTCTATCACTCTCACTCTCAGCTGCTATGGCGTGTTTTGTTTTGACTTGATGAGTGCCAAACGCATACACACACACACTTTCTCTCTCTCACACACACACACCCACACTTTCTCTCTCTCTCACACACACACACACTTTCTCTCTCTCTCACACACACACAGACACACGCTTGTCTTGCCTAGCGTAACCAATGACTCTTGTCAGTAATGCATAATCACCATTTCCATTTCGGGGGGATTACATGCATGTGCAGACCTGCTCGCGCACACTCGCACCATGTGTTGGTGGAGGACCATAATGTGTCTATTGATTTCTACTGTGAATGGTATTGTTCAACAGCCAACTCTCGTACAGCAGCGAGTTGTACGGTGTAGTCACATGTGCTGGTCAGGGGCTATGGCTAAACCACAACTGGCAAATGGTGTCATGAATAGGTTTTTTCTCACTTGTTAATCTTCACCATCTTGACTCTAAAATGTAAGCAGCTGTGAAAGAAGATCTATGCAACTAGTTCTTCGCCCCCTAAACGTCTCGGTTCTATCACTCAGCCAATCAGATCATTGTGTAAAATAGCAAATGTCGCAAGATATTTAAGTCTTTTTGTTGTTTTAATTTGGGTACTCCAGCTTTAAGTTGTCGACGATTTTGACGTTTGAAAGCACATTTCATTAAAAGTGCATCATTGTTCAGCCTTCAATGATCAAATTGGAGACTTTTGCTTTTGTAGTATGGGGTTAATGATTGAATTTCATTTCTGATTTTCCGTTTTCATGCTGAAATAACTGATCACTATCACTTCCGGGGACGACCTGGGTCTCAGTGCTACTACTGCATGACTTTTGTATCTTTTTAAATACAAATAACTACTAATGAATACGTCCTAAATCTGTATGAACTTCGATCCAGGGCCTTTTCTTTTTTGAGGCAAAATCGGACCAAACAGACTTCAAAGCACTACTGCACGTTCCTGTTTGTTTGTATCTTATAACTAGACTATAAATGATATCAACATGTAAACGTTATGTAGCTCAGTTGATCTCGCTGTCACAATAACTCCTTGTCATTTCTTTTTCTGTCACTCAGCACCTCACCCAAGTATGTCAACAGTTCTGTCACCAAAAGCCTCTCCTCTCCTTTCTCTAAAACGGCAAGTTAAAAGCTTATTAACCATAGTGTCACAGAGAGTAACTCGGGGCGCATTCTTGCTCCCATCATCAGTGCCAAACACGAGCGAAGGCCCAGGGATTGTTTCACAGATTAACTGTTACAACCGACTGGCCTGGTTTGAACTATGCTACTTACGACATAATACGACAAAAGCTGGATTCTGGCGCGGATTATCTCTGCGTGGCTCGGTTTAAACCTAAGTGTTTGTAACTGAACAGAAACTTATAAAGGCTCAACATTGAAAATATGACGGCCCGGTTATCGCTGTGCTGTACAAGCGCGG